TAAGATAGGACCTTTTCTCAGTAGTAAGAGACAAAGAGAGAACACAGAAATTACAGTATAATTAGCTGTTGTGTTGCTTAGCTAGCGGTTAGCTGCAAATAGGCGTAAATGCCACAATATCCTGAAGATCAGCGAGACTGCACTAGGACTGAAAGAAACACAGCACTGCTAATGCCACTTTTTTGTTACATAATTATATCCTGCACAGACTATATTTTTAACAATAATATGTCGCACACTTCTGTGTTTTGCACAATCTGAGTGATTCTATCTATGCCAAATTTATCCATAGTGAGATCAATAAAGTTTATCTCATCCTTTATTAGCAGGGGACCACTGTAGTCTAAAGGCAGACTTAGTTCTTTTTGCCTCTCTAGTCTCTCTCTCTGGTCTCCTTATGGTCTCTCTCTGGTCTCTCTCTGGCCTCTCTCTGGTCTCTCTGGTTTCTTTATGGTCTATCTCTGGTCTCTCTCTGGTCTCTATATGGTCTCTATGTGGTCTCTATGTGGTCTCTATGTGGTCTCTCTCCGGTCTCTCTCTAGTCTCTCTCTAGTCTCCCTCATGGTCTCTTTATGGTCTCTTTGTGGTCTATTTCTGGTCTCTCTCTGGTCTCTATGTGGTCTCTACGTGGTCTCTATGTGGTCTCTATCTGGTCTATATCTGGTCTCTGTCTGGTCTCTCTCTGGTCTCTCTCTGGTCTCTCTCTGGGTCTTTCTCTCTGGTCTCTCTCTCTGGTCTCTCTCTGGTCTCTCTCTGGTCTCTTTATGGTCTCTCTCTCTGGTCTCTCTCTCTGGTCTCTCTCTCTGGACTTGATTAGGAGGTAAGCCCATTATCTTCTGCTTTATCTGGATCTGGGTGGACAGTCTTGGCCAATATTATGTCAAAAGATATGACCAGAAAGGGCATTTAAACCTTTATGCTAATGCTACACAATTAAGGGAAAAACAGGATGTCATTAGGGCATTTGGACAGTAGGGGGCAGTGTCTGTGTGCTACCATATCCTATTTCCAAGTTTTGATCAAGCTCGACCAACTCCAAATCATGATTTTGATTCTGTGACAGACGTAAAAACAGATTGAGCTTGTATCCAACCAGTCCCATCAGTTTATTTTGGCTCATGGTGCATCTTCGGCTTCACTCGCAGCTCACACATGGTACCAGAACGTCCAGATCCACCATTTTGACTCACACTCAGAGAAAGAGAGAGACGCTGTGTTTCCCTCCTCTGCAACTGTTTGTCTCGTTATAGAAGCAAATATTAGTTTATGAGTTGGCTGCAATTATCAAAGCACATTCATCCATGATCGTTAGCCGACAAGAGGTGATTGAGCTAACGACTTATTACCAGAGAAATGGTGGATGCTAACTTTATAGTATTGCTTTTTTAATGGTCTTAATAAAGAACCAGGGATCTCTCTCTGGAATCTCTCTGGTCTCCCTCTCTCTTTGGGCTCTTTCTGGTCCCTCTCTCACAGTTCTCTCTCTCATCTCTCTCTTTGGTCTCTCTCTGGAATCTCTCTAGTCTCTCTGTAGTCTCTCTCTCTAGTCTCTCTCTAGTGTCTCTCTCTAGTCTCTCTCTAGTGTCTCTCTCTAGTCTCTCTCTGGTCTCTCTCTAGTGTCTCTTTCTGGTCTCTCTCTGGTCTCTCTCTAGTGTCTCTCTGTAGTCTCTCTCTCTAGTCTCTCTCTAGTGTCTCTCTCTAGTCTCTCTCTAGTGTCTCTCTCTAGTGTCTCTGTAGTCTCTCTCTCTAGTCTCTCTCTAGTGTCTCTCTCTAGTCTCTCTCTAGTGTCTCTCTCTAGTGTCTCTGTAGTCTCTCTCTCTAGTCTCTCTCTAGTGTCTCTCTCTAGTCTCTCTCTAGTGTCTCTCTCTAGTCTCTCTCTAGTGTCTCTCTCTAGTCTCTCTCTGGTCTCTCTCTAGTGTCTCTTTCTGGTCTCTCTCTGGTCTCTCTCTAGTGTCTCTTTCTGGTCTCTCTCTGGTCTCTCTCTGGTCTCCCTCTCTCTTTGGGCTCTTTCTGGTCTCTCTCTCACAGTTCTCTCTCTCATCTCTCTTTTGGTCTCTCTCTGGAATATCTCTAGTCTCTCTCTAGTCTCTCTCTCTAGTCTCTCTCTCTAGTCTCTCTCTCTGGTCTCTCTCTAGTGTCTCTCTAGTGTCTCTCTAGTGTCTCTCTCTGATCTTTCTCTGGTCTGTATCTTGTCCCTCTCTGGTCTCTCTCTCTGGTCTCTCTCTGATCGCTCTCTGATCTCTCTCTGGTCTCTCTCTGTTCTCTCTCATGTCCCTCTCTGGTCTCTCTCTCTGGTCTCTTTCTCTGATCTCTCTCTCTGGTCTCTCTCTTTGGTCTCTCTCTGATCTCTCTCTTTGGTCTCTCTCATATTTTCTGAGCCCAAATATAAAAGATGTAGGTGTCATTTAAATAATATTCCCCGTTATTTACAGTGCAAAAAATTATAAATAAAAGGTAATAATTGCTGTGGAATCTTTTTTTTTTTCAATTATCTTAATCTGCGTTCATTCTGACTTTGTTAAAACTAGATTCTCCAACGGGACAAGGTCAATTAGTCTTAATTCATGAACCATTTTATTCACTCATTCCAAGGGAGACACATCATTTTGCTTTGGCCCATTGACGAATCTTGTTCTGGCTCTGTCAGAATGTGCTCGGATTAAGACACATTTTAGCCAAATTTGAGCCATTTTTTGCTTGAAATGTCAATGTTTTTTTACCCTGAATCCAAGTGAAAATGGTTATACACATTAACAGCCCACTTGTTGATACTTCTGTGACATCCTTTCTGTGTCCAGTAAATGTTGTTGCTTTCCCACCTGTGCTGAACTCAAAGGACTGAGCGCTGGCTGCTGTTTTTTTTTTCAGATTGAGTGGTGTGTGTGTGTGTGTGTGTGTGTGTGTGTGTGTGTGTGTGTGTGTGTGTGTGTTTGTTTGAGTGCGTGGTAAAAGAATGTAGCGGCGAATGACGAAAAAAGTCATTTGGACAGTATCGATCAGATGCTTCCTACTGATGTCTCCTTCTGCAGAGATGACAAGGAAGAGGAGGAGGAGGTAGAGAGAGGGAGGAAGGAAGAGGGGGAGGAAGAGGAGGACGAGAAAGACAAGGACGTCTTTTGTGTCTCTCTCTTCTGTCTCTCTCTTGTGTCTCTCTCTTGTGTTTGTCTCTGGTCTCTTTTGTCCCTCTTGTCTCACTCTGGTCCCTCTCTGTTGTGTGTATTGTGTGTCTCCGTTGTGTGTTTACTGCTGGCCTCTGCAGGATGATGTCCTCTGTGTCGCTGATCCTAAACTGTAAAAACAGAAAAATCTTCCTCCATCTGTTGGAAAATCACTCTGTTCACTTCACCTTTTGTTCTGAAGGTTATTTCACTCCCAACTCGATGTCTGTAAAAAGCCTTTGTTGTTTATGTCCTCTTAATGTACTTAGAGTTTGTTATTGTACTTAGAGTGTGTGTTAATGTACTTATGGGGCGTTCAGACCGCTGACTCTGGAATGCAGCTTCAACGCGCACTAGATGCACATTCTCTAAATTTCAGACGCTAGAGGTAGTTAGACCAGAAGTCTACCACGTTACCATTACCTTTGCATTCAGAGCCTCTGCGCTCGCTCCCCTCTTTCTCTCTGGTGGCTACAGCCTCTGTTCTCTCTCTCTCTCTCTCTCTCTCTCTCTGTTCTCTCCATCTCTTTCAGGTGCCTCCAGCCTCTGCTCTCTCTCTCTGGTGACTCCAGCCTCTGTTCTCTCTGATTACCCGGCGATTACCGAGTCTGAAGAGAGTGTTTAGCCACGATGGCCTCTCGGTGCATTAGCCGCCACATGCGGAGCTTCATCAGACACGGCTTGTGAAGGACATTGTTTGGTCTGGAGCGGGGTGCATTGATCCACGGCTCCTCACAGCAGGTTGTTAAAGCTTTCATTTCAATTCATTTTCATTTTTTATGTACTGATTGATGTTGTTACACATGAACATTCTTCTGCAAGGAAGTCACAGTTTGGCACTATACAGCCGCAGCCGTCCCACTGTTGCACATTCTTTTTAAGTAATCTTTATTTATATACCGCCTTTTCACTGCAGATCTGAGTCTCAAAGCGGTTTACAATTGTTAATTTTGTAGGCATTTGTCTCTCACTCCACACAGAGAGGGGAGCGGGGTCGCCAGTGCAGGGGGCGCATGCCAGAACTATTGGACATATTTTTAGTGGTAGGGGAAACCGGAGTACCCGGAGGAAACCTACGCAGACACGGGGAGAACATGCAAACTCCACTCAGAAAGGCCCTGGTCCGACCGGGATTCGAACCCAGGACCTTCTTGCTGAGAGGCGAGAGTGCTATCCACTCAGCCACACATGGTGTTCCCAGAGGTCTCCCATCACAATACTAACCAGGCCCTGTACTGCTTAGCTTCAGAGGTCTGACAGGATCTGGCTGTGACCTGCAGGTATTTTCATTTAGAGATAGTTTGAACCTAAATATCGGTTGGACACATATCTCCATTTGTATAAAAACAAAAAAAACCTGAAATTTACCCGATGTGTTTTTAGCTTGAACTCAAACCAAACTCTCCGACATATTTACCATCGGCACCTCGGAGATCGTGGATACTTTTCCCCAGATCCTCCGCTCCGTTCAGAAGTCCAGAGTATCGACCCCAGCGGCTTTTTCAGACCTGACATTTCCCTCTGACCTTCTCTCCGGTGTTTCAGCAATTATCACCTCATCACACTCGCTCTCCACCTCCTCCACCTCTTCGCTCCAACGTCCACCGCTTCCCTTTGACGTCCACCTCTTCTGTCTGACATCCACCTCTTCTCTCTGACGTCCACTTCTTCTCTCTGACATCCAACTCTTCTCTCTGACGTCCACTTCTTCTCTCTGACATCCACCTCTTCTCTCTGACGTCCACTTATTCTCTCTGACATCCACTTCTTCTCTCTGACATCCAACTCTTCTCTCTGACGTCCACTTCTTCTCTCTGACATCCAACTCTTCTTGCCGACTTTCTACTCTTCTCTTTGACGTCCACTTCTCTCCAACGTCCACCTTTTCTCTCCGACGTCCACCTCTTCTCTCTGACATCCAACTCTTCTCTCAGACGTCCACCTCTTCTCTCTGACGTCCACTTCTTCTCTCAGACATCCACCTCTTCTTGCCGACTTTCTACTCTTCTCGTTGACGTCCACTTCTCTCCGACGTCCACCTCTTCTCTCCGACGTCCACCTCTTCTCTCCAACGTCCACCTCTTCTCTCCGACGTCCACCTCTTCTCTCCAACGTCCATATGTTCTCCCCGACGTCCACCTCTTCTCTCTGACGTCCACCTCTTCTCTCCGACGTCCACCACTTCTCTCCAACTTCCACCTCTTCTCGCCGACGTCCACCTTCTCTCTCCAATGTCCACCTTTTCTTTCCGATGTCCACCTCTTCTCTACGACATCCACTTCTTCTCTCAGACATCCACCTCTTCTCTCTGATGTCCACCTGTTCTCTCTTCTCTCTCTCCCTCACTCAATATTTCTCTTCTTATCTGTCTCTCTCTCACTCTATCCGTCACCCTGTCTCACTTTCTCTCTCCTTATCTATCTGTCTTTCTCTCTCTCTCTCTCTCTCTCTCTCGAGCTGTGTCGCTTTCTATCTATCTATATAACTCAAACTCTTTCACACAGGGAGGAGAGCAGTGGGAGGAGACCAGCAAGAGGCGGTCACTGGGAGGTTGAAACTGGGAGTGGGAAACTGGAAGGAGGACACTGGGAGGAAGACACTGGGAGGAGGACAATGGGAGGAGGACACTGGGAGAAAGACACTGTGAGGAGGACATAGAGAGGAGGACACTGTGAGGAGGACAGTGGAAGGAGGCCAGAGGGAGGACACCAGCGGAAGGAGGACATTGAGAGGAGGACACTGTGAGAAGGACATTGGGAGGAGGACACTGGGAGAAAGACACTGGGAGGAGACCAGCAAGAGGCGGTCACTGAAGAACACTGGGAGGAGAACCCTGGGAGGAGGCCAGAGGGAGGCGGATACTGGGAGGAGAACCCTGGGAGGAGGCCAGAGGGAGGTGGACACTGGGAGGAGAACCCTGGGAGGAGGCCAGAGGGAGGTGGACACTGGGAGGAGAACCCTGGGAGGAGGCCAGAGGGAGGCGGACACTGGGAGGAGGCCAGAAGGAGACGTCTTGTATCCTTCACTCGCCGCAATTAAAAGCTATATAAATATTTCAAAGCTTGATCCTCAAAAGCAGAGGTCTCTGTCTCTCTCTCTGTCTCTCTCCTCTGTCTATCTCTCTCTCTTTTTGTTGTTGCAGTAAAACCACATTGGAATGCATGTGCAAAAGTACTTAAGTATGAACCAGACAAGAGCATAGATAAAACAAACTAAAAAGTAAAGAATTAATCAACAAAAACAGTTTCCATACAAGATTAGTAAAGATTTCTTCAAAGAGAGAGAGACAGAGGGAGAGAACAGAGAGAGACCAGATAGAGAGAGACCAGAGAGTGAAAGAGACAGGGAGAGAGACTAGAAAGAGACCAGAGAGAGACCAGAAAGAGACCAAAGAGAGAGAGACACCAGAGAAACCAGAGAGAGAGAGACCAGAGATAAAACTAAAAACATACAATAAACAATAGTCTCTCTGAAACCAATCAACAGAAGTAGTTTAAATGAAATAAAAAAGTGCATTAAAGTTCTGTGTTCAGGCTGATAACAGCTCGGGTCCAGTTCCAATGTCATCTACGAACAAAACAAGTTAATTCTCTGTCTTTTGTCTGTTATTATTTTTCTGTTAAAGTGCTGTAGTGACTCCATAGGTGCAGGAGCAGTCTCTCTTCCTGTCGCTCTCCACATTCTCACACTAATTAATTTTCCACTCCAGTCATTTTGTTTAATGAATTTGACTGAACTCCGTGTGTCGCTGCTTCTAAATATTCCAAACTCAGTCACGCTGAGAGCCAGAGGAAACACACAAGAAGAGAAGACCATGGTTTAAGGAAATATCTATGTATTATTCATTATGTTTCATAGTCGTAAAGAAAAACTTACCATACCATCGTACTCATTTCATTTAGTTCTAAGGTCAGGATTTGCTACATGGAGCTCTGTTAGCAGGTGGGAGGGGTCAACTCCTTTCGCAGATTGAAACGATTGGATCTGAGTTTACCGACACGTACTGTATGTAATGAGCCCGAGTGAGTGAGCCTTTTAGCATTTAGCCTAGTTTTAGCATTTAGCCTAACTCCTTTGCCACTAACAGAGCTTGTAAGGAGTAGAGCCACAACATCTTTGCTTCAACGACATCTGCTAAAAATTCCTCTTTCTCCGGCTTCCGTTTCTTGATATTTGGAGCCGATCCAGAACGGATTACTTTACTATCGCATTCTCCGCCAAACTACAACCGCAAATACAGCACAAACTTATGACGTCACTGACACCGACCAACAACACCCGCCTCTCCCGCTGTGGGGATTCAACCGAGGAACCTGCAGACACTAGGAGCAGACCCAGACGTACAGTACGTGTAGGAAATGATCATGGACCAGAGTTTACAGATGGGTTAGTCCAGGCTAAGTTTCAGTTAGCACAAAACAAAGGAAGGTCGCTCACCCTTCTCTGAGCTTCAATTAGCAGGGAAAGGTATAGTAATAATAAGGTAGGAATGAGGCAAGATCGTTAGACCCGCTCCCAACCACATCTTAATGAGTTCATGAGTTAGCCTTAGGATCAGGAGGTCTAACTACTGTTAGTAAGTAATGTTTATTTATATAGCGCATTTTACAGACCAAGGTCACCCAAAGCTCTTTACAATGTTCAGAGTTCAGATATTGTTCCAATCATTAAGACACGGTGATGACAGAAGCGAGTCGCCGAACACACTGGCGCATCAGCCCCCAATCAACACCATCCATTCACTCTCTAATTGACATTCATAACTATTGTGCATGTTTTTAGTGGTAGGGGAAACCGGAGCACCCGGAGGAAACCTAAGCAGACACAAGGAGAACATGCAAACTCCACTCTGAAAGGCCCTGTTCCGACCGGGATTCGGACCCAGGACCTTCTTGCTGAGAAGCGAGAGTGCTATCCAATACGCCACCGTGTTAGAAACAGAAGTATTGAGGCAGAAGGGGAGGGGGGATCCTGGACTGTATTTGATGTGGAACAATAGTGCAACATGTCCCAAAGATAAAGAAATGCAACTCTGCACGGAACATGTCTCCTTTCTTACATCATTTTAGATCAATATTGAGATTCCAACGGTTCAAAGAAAAGGTTTTTCCCACAGTGTTGTGTGTCGTCTACACATTATTTATTTATTTGTTTGGAACAGTGTGTGTTAATGACCAGCACTGATGTCACCATGACTGAAGCCTTGGGCGAATTTCTGTCTGTAGCACTCACAAACACACACACACACTCATCCTGATCTATTGTACATGTTTTAGCGGTAGGAGAAACTGGAGCACCTGGAGGAAACACACACACGTACACACACACACACACACAACCTTGAATGGCAGGTTTGCAGAGCTTGCTCTATTCATCTCATTGTTATTGTGACGTGTTTTTACACATAACACACACACAGTCACACACAGTCACACACACACACACACACAGTTGCTGTCCTCGCACTTGGACACATTGGATTTGTGGTATGTGTCAGAGAACAGTCAGCGCTGCTTTGTGCCCGAGGACCACCATTCTTCAGGTCTGACACACCACAGAGAAACCACAGAGTCCCACAGAGCCCCACAGAGCCCCACAGAGAACCACAGAGAACCACAGAGCCCCACAGAGCACCACAGAGAACCACAGAGCCCCACAGAGCACCACAGAGAGCCACAGAGAACCACAGAGCCCCACAGAGCACCACAGAGAGCCACAGAGAGCCACAGAGAACCACAGAGAACCACAGAGCCCCACAGAGCACCACAGAGAGCCACAGAGAACCACAGAGAACCACAGAGCCCCACAGAGCACCACAGAGAGCCACAGAGAGCCACAGAGAACCACAGAGCCCCACAGAGCACCACAGAGAGCCACAGAGAACCACAGAGCACCACAGAGAGCCACAGAGAGCCACAGAGAACCACAGAGAAACCACAGAGCACCAAAGAGAACCACAGAGCACCACAGAGCACCACAGACCACCACAGAGCACCAGAGAGCACCACAGAGAACCACAGAGCACCACAGAGCACCATAGAGAACCACAGAGCACCACAGAGAACCACAGAGCACCACAGAGCACCACAGAGAACCACAGAGCGCCACAGAGAACCACAGAGAACCACAGAGCACCACAGAGAATCACAGAGCACCACAGAGACCCACAGAGCGCCACAGAGAACCACAGAGAACCACAGAGCCCCACAGAGCACCACAGAGAGCCACAGAGAACCACAGAGCCCCACAGAGCACCACAGAGAGCCACAGAGAGCCACAGAGAACCACAGAGCCCCACAGAGCACCACAGAGAGCCACAGAGAACCACAGAGCCCCAGAGAGCACCACAGAGAGCCACAGAGAGCCACAGAGAAACCACAGAGCACCACAGAGCACCACAGACCACCACAGAGCACCAGAGAGCACCACAGAGAACCACAGAGCACCACAGAGAACCACAGAGCACCACAGAGCACCACAGAGAACCACAGAGCACCACAGAGAACCACAGAGCACCACAGAGCACCACAGAGAACCACAGAGCGCCACAGAGAACCACAGAGAACCACAGAGCACCACAGAGAATCACAGAGCACCACAGAGCGCCACAGAGAACCACAGAGAACCACAGAGCACCACAGAGAACCACAGAGCACCCCAGAGAAGCAGAGAATGGTTTACTACAGCCCCTACACTAAATGGCTTCGTCCCATTGGCCAATCTTGTTTGAAGACAGTCAAAATGTCTCAGATTTGGATAAAAACCATTTGATTCAAGCAAATATTACTTCATATTTTAAAAATTTTTTTCAGTGTGATGAGAAAATGTGTCTTTTGCTTTAAACCGATCCAATTCCAAAACTCATTATCGCTCGTATCAGCAGAACAGAGGCTAACACCACAGAACAATAAGAACAGAGTGTGACATCACAGGCCTGTCGTGTCACTGTGGCCTTGTTACAAAACGCTTTTCCCGCCTTCATCACCGCAGACTGTCACCGCAGGAAGTGTGTCGATCCTGGACCCCTGGGGGACCTCTGGGGGGCCGATGGGGGGCCCCTGGGGGACACCTGGGGCTGCGGCGTTATCAAAGACAAAGCTATTGTCAAAAAGACGTTAGCGTACGGATTTGAATAGAAAACTGGTAGCAGGCGGTGTTTGGAGACTTTTTAAAGGAGACACAATATGAAAGTCATCATATTTGAGTCTGTAATCATGTGAAACATCAGGTTACTTTGTCCCCTTTTTAATTCCCCATTTTATTCATGTAATTTGTAACAGTTGAGGGTAGGGCTGGGCGATATGGCTGAAAACTATATCACAATATAAGTAATTCATATCGGTCGATAACGATATATAACACATGTTAGCAGCCCTTGTTTACAGTCACGGAGGAATGAGGCTGGAGAAATATGTTCACAAGCAGTCCCCCCCATAGTTAGTCCTGGTTTAATCCTGGTTTAGTCCTGGTTTAGCTCCTGTTTTGGCTGTTTTCGAGTGTCCTGTGTCCCCGTGGCGGCTCCGGAAAGTTAATCTCTTGCTTTTGCCGAATGCATCGAGTCTCTGCCTCTCCCGCGCCGCACATGCTGTTCCTCGCACGGACGTGCATAACCATTGACACGGCACTGAGACACAATCTTTAGATCCATGGCTATTATAACAGATCCATGATCCATGGACGCTACGCATGGTGCGGTTGTTGTTTTTGCATTCCCAGAAAGTTTTGCGGTTTGTAGTTGGCTGTGATAGGTCGAGAAGTTTCTGCCTACATCCCCCAGAATGCCGTGCGCTTCTGACTCGACTTTACTTCCTGTGTTTCGTTCCCGTTTTTTCGAACGGAGTGAAGTTAAACAATCGAAAGTTCTATCGACCCCGTTTTCTATCGATATCGAACATGTGTCTATTGCAATATATATCGTTATCGTTTTATCGCCCAGCCCTAGTTGAGGGTGTGTCTGTCAGCCATTTTGTATTGCGGGCCAACCCTGTGGCCGGAGACATCTCATTTTAAAAGCAAAGTACACACCCCCAAGGACAGGACTGTTGTGCTTGTCCAAAATACATCTCCTGTTTTACACCAGTTCTGCCGTCTCATTTTGACACTCGAGCCAGATTCTCCACAACTCCTCAGTCCGGATGTATGACGTCATCGCCCCACTATGACATCACAGACCGCCCCTTCTGTCTAAATACTGTATTTACAACAACAACAACTTACTGTATTCTTGTATAGCCCTAAATGACAACAGAAGTCATCTCAGAGGACCCAACAAAACCTTTGAAATCACCAACACAGATCAGAGAATCAACAGTTCAGACACAAAATATACACGTATGAATTGGTCCATATGGAGAGACCAATGTCCATGAATGTTGACAAATATCCATACATGTTGTAGAATGTTAAAGTGTCCTGGATCATCACCACTAACTGCCCAACAGACCCTCCTGCATCGGCAAGGAAAAACTCACAAAAACCCAGTGGAAAAAAAGTGTTGCCTTTAATACGCCATTTTAGATTCCGCTCTTAATCCAGAAGAATTAGGCAAGTTTATCTGTATAGCACAGTTTATACACAAGGTAAAGGGACACAGTTTTACTCAAAGTGTCAGCAGGATTTATACTATAGTGTCTTAATGTATTCTCTGTATACATATTCTCTCAATTCTACATTTGTTCACAAACACACAGGTGTATTTCTGTTGTGTGTAAAAGCAGGTGACAGCAGAAGTAACCGTGGCGTGCAGATGTATATTTGATGAGGAGCGTGAGGTGGGACTGGAGCCGACGCGCCGCTGTCAGAAAGGATCGTGTCACAGCCGCGTGTCGTACATTTGCCCTCCATGAAACTTTGATGTGGAATTGTGTGAAAGAAGTGAGAGACGCTGGTGTAAAGTTTGAAGAACAACTACAGTGTGTGTTGCTTTGGCTCAAGATCTCACTCCATTCACTTTTAAATTCAAGATTAAGGTTAAGGTTAAGGTACAATTTAGTAATCGCAAAAGAGAAATGTGTCCTCTGCAGTTGAAAGCAGCGGTCGCCCGTCTCCAGATCTTGATGCTTGGTTTGGTCAGTACTTTACATAATGTGCATGTTTTAAGTGGTGGGGGACACGGGGAGAACATGCAAACTCAGACAGGACCTTCTTGCTGAGATACGAGACCCTTGATACTTGTAGATGGTATTTTAAATTTAAATGTGCACTTTATTGTCGCCGTAAATAAATTTGTCCTCTGCATTTGACCCATCCTGATGCTGCGAAGGCTTACGTCATGAGCAGTGGTCGCCGTAGCAACAGCGGCCAGGAACCCATCTCCAGATGTTGATGCTCGGCTTGGTCAGGACTACCGAAGCTGGAGGATTTAACCTAGTGAGCATGTTTTTAGTGGTAGGGGAAACCAGAGTACCCAGAGGAAACCAAAGCAAGCACGGGGAGAACATGCAAACTCCACTCAGAAAGGCCCTGTTCTGACCGGGATTCGAACCCAGGACCTTCTTGCTGAGAGGCTATCCACTCAGCCACCGTGCCGCACTTCAAGTTCTTTATCATTATTATAATTCCTTGAAAATCCAATTCAGTTTTATGTTTTTTTTGTTTAGCCCCAAACAGTTTTCTCGGAATACTTTACAAATGCTGCCGATTCAGCGACAGAGATCTGAAAATCAAACATTCTGACTGTGATAAAACCAGATTCTCCAGTGGGACAAAGTCATTCAGTCTGATTTCAAGAACTGTTGCTTTATTTTCTCATTCCAAAGAAGACGTCTCTGTATCTTTTAAAACAGGATGATTTTGCCTTGTCCCATCGGAGAATCTGGTTTTTAGGCTCAGTCAGAATGTGCTCGGATTAAGATACATTTAGCCACATTTGAGAATTTTTTTGTTTTTGTTTTTTTCAACATTTTTGTGTCGGAAATGCAATAATAAAAAGAAACATACACATAAAAAAGTCAAATCCCAGTGAGATTGATTTTTGCTTGAATGTAGTTTGTCATTTTAGGATTATTTTACTACTGTATATTAAAGATAATAATACTTAAATACTCTTATTAGAGAAAACACTCTGAGCAGTGAAATTTTAAGTTTGTTTTATATATTTTTTTTTTCCAATTTCCAGACGACTTTTCTTGATTAGATAACATAAGTTTGTGATGCTATAATTTTTTTAATTCTCTAAATGTATGTTTTTATTTTAGAATCAAGTCATTTGGGGCTAGTACAATGTTCTTATTTTCAGAAATCTCGTCAAGTCATATTTTCTTGTTCAATTGGGAGATCCTTTGTATAATTATAAGCAGAATTTTACTTTTTTTCATGTATCATTCTCTAATTTTCCAAGAGATTCTTTCAGTGTAAAGCCATTAGTTCATAAGGGACAGAGACCAAAGTTTTATAAATGTGGTTGATTGTGGAGCGCTGTGGATCACTGAACGAATCTGTAAGAAAAAACTCACACACAAAAAAAACAGTGGGAAAGAAGCGGGAAACCTGAAAAATCGATCTCAGATGCGTGTGCTCGCCTTTGCACGGATCTGACCTGTGTAATCCTCGTGCCCTGGCGTCTCCTCTGACACATGTGTAGCTGTTTGGCTTTGATGCTGCAGAGACATAATGAGAGCGAGATAAGAGCGAGATAAGCCGGCTTCAGCGCTCTCACCGTCAGAGCGGCGTGTTCTGCAGATAGAGAGAGGCCCTCGGAGTCGGTGAGGACCAGAACGAGCACGACAAAAAGGAACCTTTCAGGAGAATCTGAAACTTTCTGGACTATAAGCTGCAGGTTTCATGTTGTAATGTGGCAAAGAGACGACACAACAGGACGAGATTACAGGAACAGTCTCGTATGGGGTAGTGATAGTGAGAGAGATCTTCACAGGCAATGCATTCTGGGTTGTTGCAGATTTGTGGTAAATAGAGCTGAGGGGAACAACCCAAAGAAAATATAAACAAACATCTGGTCTCTTTCTGCTCTCTCTCTCGTCTCTCGCTGATCTCTTTCTCGTCTCTCTCTGGTCTCTTTCTGGTCTCCCTCTGCCTGGGTTCTCTTTGGCCTCTCTCTGGTCTCTTTCTCTGGTTTCTCCCTGGTCTCTCGCCCTGGTGTCTTGCTCTGGTCTCTTTCTGGTCTCTCTCTCTCTGTTCCCTCTTTGGTCTCTCTCCCCATGGTCTCCCTCTGGTCTCTCTCTTTCTGGTTTCTCTCTCTAATGTCGTTCTCTGGTCTCTTTCTGGTCTCTCTCTCTCAGTTCCCTCTTTGGTCTCTCTCTCTCTGGTCTCTCTCTGGTCTCTCTCTGTTCTCTCTCTGGTCTCTCTGGTCTCTCTCTGTTCTCTCTTTGGTCTCTCTCTGGTCTCTCTCTGGTCTCTCTCTGTTCTCTCTCTGGTCTGTCTGGTCTCTCTTTCTCTCTCCCTCTGGTCTCTCTCTGGTCTCTCTCTCTCAGTTCCCTCTTTGGTCTCTCTCTCTCTGGTCTCTCTCTGTTCTCTCTCTGGTCTCTCTGGTCTCTCTCTGTTCTCTCTCTGTTCTCTCTCTGGTCTCTCTGGTCTCTCTCTGTTCTCTCTCTGGTCTCTCTCTGGTCTCTCTCTGGTCTCTCTCTGGTCTCTCTCTGGTCTCTCTCTGGTCTCTCTCTGGTCTCTCTCTGGTCTCTCTCTGGTCTCTCTCTGGTCTCTCTCTGATCCCTCTGGTCTCTGTCTCTGAATTGTAAAGCACTACACTACTACTGCATTACTTTGTTCCTACTTTACCCAAAATTATAAATACAAATGTAGCTCATGATGCTACAACACTTCTGCTTCAGCCTCGGCCGTCTTCTTCCAGAAAAAACAATTCTAGACAAACACTATTGGAGCAGATGTGTCTCCTGCTGATCTTACAGACAACAAAAACGCACGTTATTGACTGTTTGTGTAAAATATAACCCAGTGTCTGTCCGTGGAGACATTTAACATTTAACATTTGGACTTATGTCTGAGCGCTCGACGACAGCCCTGTGTTAAGTGTGACGCGTGAACATTGACGATGACGGAAGCTGCTTTATGGCCTCACACTTCTGCATCTGCTCCTCGTCTCGTGCTGACAACACATGTCCAACACCTCCACAGTACGACTTCTGCATAAAGCTGCAGAAAAGAGAGATAAACCTGTTTGTGT